CCGGTGAAAAAGGTCGAGAGACGTTCAGTCTTATAAATTTCAAGAAAACTCTTATTTTTTAGATGACAGTCTGAGTACGTTTTAATCAGATATGATGATGAGCTTCTCATCAGCATTTGTTCATCTTTTTCAAAAAGATTGTGTCCTTTCTAAAGCAGTTTTTTGTTTTAGAAACTTCCGCAAAGAATTCCTAATCGATGTAATAGTTGACTGTGAGATGTGCTGAAATAACTTCTCTTAAGGCTCAAAAACAACCGGATCTTCCACCGAAAGAGGCTGAAAAGAAGCAGAAAGAAGAGCAAAAGAAAATCGACAGTGCGGTTGCGTTGACGGACGCTGAAATCGTCGAGAAAACCGAACTTCTAACTCAGGTCAGTTAGTTGCTCCATCATCACTTCATGTCTTTTGTTCATCAACCACTTGAGATCAGGCACAGTTATTCGTGATGTTGGAATGGATAACTGTGAAAGTGTGTTCTTATTCTATGTTCCGCAGCACTTCCACGTTTAGGCATCGTAGCTGACGAAATTGAGGGGTATCATCAAGCAATTTGTATTGTTGAAACAATGTATTTATTGAATCTGTTGATTTAGATTGAAAATTTCGTTTAATTCTAATATAATTTGATCGTTATTTACTGATTAAGATTTGACGAAAGTAAAGTTAGTGAGCATTGCGAGTTAGTAAAATGCAGCAGCGAGCAAAATAGTTTTTCCCAGTGGTAATTCTTGTTTCTTGACATTCTTTGCGTACCGCAGTGAAAAGTTTTAAATCCAAGTCAGAATGATCACTACGAATAAAACCAAAAAAAGGTAATGTATAGGCAATGTTCGTATTTTTGAGGAATGTATGGATTGCGTTGATGAACTGATTTGTAGGGGCAAGGTAATTGGTCTCGACGTGAATTTCAACAATTCGTTAAAGCGAACGAAAAATATGGTCGAAATGATTTGGAGAATATCGCGAAAGAAATCGATACAAAAACGTTGGCGGAAGTTTGTTTGTTTCATTCTTGTGACCATATTTCATCAATGCATTTTGGAAATCAATTTGAAGTTCGAAGTATCATACAAAAATCCGGCTGGAATTTTTGTGCACTTTTAGGTCGAAGAATATTCCAAAGTTTTTTGGGAACGTCTCGACGAGCTATCAGATCATGATCGAATCCTTGCAACCATTGAAAAGGTTACGTTCATC